CCCCTGTGTTACAAACTAAATGATTCAATTTATGCTCATTTTATCCCCTTGTAAATTACAAAAATTCATATGTCTCTAATAAAACTTGCTTCCAAAGGAAACCAAATCCAAGAAAGCACTGCCCTTCAAATTTCTTATCACTTGGTGATCTGGAGAGTACATAACTATGAGTAACAGTCCTACTTCTCTTTAGCCTATAGGTGATATACTTCAGCACAGTTTTTAGTCGAGGGTGGGAATAGTGTAGCAATCCAGATGTTCTTCAACTGCAACTCTCAGCATTCCTCAACCTTGGCTAATCACTCTTATTTTTGTCCAGAAAAAGGATGGTCTTTTGGTCTGGAGGGGTTGATGACCACAAAGTCTCAGTAGAGGCTGCTGGAAGTTGCAGTCCAGGGAGATCAGAAGAGTCACACAATTCCCATCCCATAATTTAGTCCCAGCAGAAAAGATTCAGCAAAATGTAAAACACTGCAAAGATGCAGGGCTGCCAATCAAATTCCCGCTCAGCTATGGAAACCCAGTGAGTTACTTTGGACAAGTCCGATTCTCTCAGCTTCAGAAGGCAATGATGACAAATGTTCTGTGAAAAATGCTTGCTAAGAAAACCTTATGACAGAGCCATCATAACTGACAGTCATCTTGAAGGCATATAATAACATCAACAAAAATAATCAGGTAGAACATCTGAAAGAGTTTTTCTGCCCATTGTCCTGGACTTTTGTTGGCTGCATGCCATACAGACTACAGCAAAAATAAAGATACTAGCCAGGAAGACTTTGATATTTTTACTGAGACATCCTTGTGATATTGGTTTCTTGTGTATTAGACTTCTCAGAAGGGCATATTCTTCTTTCTTTTTCTAAATCCAGATTTTATTATTGGGATTTGCATTGTAACATGGAGAGAAGGATGCTTTCCTTTTTAATCATTTCAGCTCCTATGTACATAACTCACTTTATAGTTTACAGGCATAGCCACAGAGGGTGTGGGAGACAGGCAACGTCAAATATCTAATAAACTGAGCTATGTTTAGTTTATACTCATGCTTTGCAGCTGCTCCTCGTGACATCTTCTCCAGTATATTTGATTATTATTAATGTCTGAATCATAGGAAAATACATCACAAGTAAACACTAAACTAAAAAAGAAATGTTTTTCCTTATTTGAGGAAGCATAATGACTGACATGCAAGAACTGAATAA